CCCTGGCCTCCGGTCTCTGGTAAGCAGCCGGTACCAGGGCAGATAGTTTCCAATCTGTCCTTGTCTCGAGCGTCTCCCCACTGGAGCCTGGGCCATCACTCCCGACTGAGCCGGGCCCCGCTCCGCGTCCTAGCAATCTGTAGTGCGAGTCGGTAGTTGCAAAGATCAGTGCGTCTCTTGGAGGTTTTTTTTTTTGTGTGTTTTAAGTGCAAGGATGTTGCATCGTTGCGTGGTTCTCCTCCGGTGTTCCCTCCGGCCGGGGGCAACCCTGGTGTGGCAGCGGTGATGCCACGGGTCCGGCGCGTGCCCAGCGGGAGCGAGACGGGTCAGCGCCGCAGAGGGAGGAGGAGGCAATGGTGGCGGCTCTCTTGGAGCCTGGGGAGGTCACCCGGATCGATGGAGCAGGCTGAACGGTCCCGTCCCTGAGCCCAAGGTGGCAGTGGGGCTCTGGCTGCAGAAATGCCGCAGGCAGGCACGGCCAGGCTTCACGCTCTACCCCCACTCCCTTCAAACAAGGGGGTGAGGGCTTCCCAGCAGCTCCACATCTCTGCTCAGGCAAGGCATGGAGGGTAAAGCTGGGCGAGGGATGGCAAAATCCAATGGCCTGTGGTCTCCTCTGCTCCAAGCACTGAGCAGTAGCTTTTCCCGGTCTTTCCCTGCCTCCCTTCACTGCATGCTCCAAGGCGAGTTCTTTGTTCGCCCATGTCACCCCCTGGCCATGCGTTTGCTCCCCCCCAGCACCTTTCCAGGGCAGGAGGGATGCAGATGGATGGGGAAGGTGGGTTCAGACTGTTTGTTCAAGGGAGTGGGAAGGCAGCATCCAAGACTGGATGTTGGTTCATCTTCCACTCGGCTCCTCCCAGCCTGGAGAACCTCTTCTGCCATCTCCGTGCTGGGGCCAGCTCTGCCCCATCGTGCTCCACGCTGCCAGCCAGGGGCCTCCAGGGAAAGGGAACCGCAAAAAGGCGCGGAGAGGATCGAGACGAGGCGCTGAGAGAGACTCATCTCCTTTCTCTTTCACCCTGTCCTTCCTAAAGGGTCATGCGAAACTAAGCAGGAAAGGGAATATAAGGACGGAGAGGAGTGTACGCAGAAGGCTAGCAGGTGTCCTTCCACGTACAGGCGGCTTCCAAGTTACTGATGGGGGCAAATGACACAAAAGGGATCCCTCTTGCTGGGGGTCCCGCTGGTGAAATGATCACGAGACCCATGTGCTTTCCTGGACCAAAAGGAGGAAGGGAGAAGTTGGTCAAGTGTCACCTTACTTAAAGCCACTTCCAGAAGAGCCTTGGGGTTCAAGAACCACCACCACCCCCCCCCACCGGCATCTCCCTCAAATCCTGTAACTGCTTCCCCAACCCCTTTCTTCAGCCCTCTCCTTCCTCCTCGTGTCTCTCGCGCTCTCCTGTCTGTAGTGTGACACAGAAGTCATGAGCATTGAAAGAAACAATCATGTCGTCTGAACAGGCACGTCCTCAGGTTTGTCCCATCCCTTCCCAGGGGGTGGCACGTGTCCCCTGGGCGGTCAGCAGATGACAGGAACCCCGTCGGTGTTGAAGATCATGCCCGTCGTGGGCTCGTAGGTCCCTGCAAGGTAGTAGAGGTCCTCACTGTCTTGGTATTTCTTTGTCTTTAGCATCTGCTCATATTGATCCAGACCAACAACAAGACACTTGTGTGAGATGGTCTGGACATCGTTTTCATCCACGTGAGAGGACTGGTAGAGGGCTCGCTGCATTACAGGAACGGAAAGAGACGGAAAGAAAAGGAGCAATTAGATCTCACAGCATTTACAGCATCATCATCAACATGCAGGAAAAACACCCATCACCACTGGCCAGGGCTTGTGCTCACTCTCGAGCAGAACTCCCACTCATCCCCACTGCCAGCCCAGGGCAGGGACACTGGGAATCTGCACGGCCCACGAGCAGCGTGGACACAATCCACCCAGCACACTAAACCTGAGCTCTCACTCAGCTCCCACCGATGGGAACACCACAGCTGCCGAGCGCGCAGACAGGGGAATATGGAGGCCAGGAGTTTGTCATCCTCACTACAAGGATGCAAATGCAAAGATGGGTGCTGGATACCAGCACTGTGTTCCTCTCAACAACCAGCACCTGCAGCTACTCCCACCCTCCAGAAACACCCATCCCAAGTCCTGGGCACTGCCGACTCAGCAGCTGAGGCAAAAAGCAAGCGCCAGAGAATTTCAGGGAACATTTCCCCAGCAGCATTTGTTATGGCGTCCCTAGCATCCCCTCCCAGCCCTGCCCCAACCTCACCAACCTCCATAAAGTCCTTCCTCTGGTTGGATGCCTGCAAAGCTGTGGACAGACTCCTGCCGGATTTCTGATCCCAGCGCTGTGCCCAAGAGGAAGAGAAAAGAGAAAACAGAAATGAAAAGCAGGTAATTAGTTGGTTTTCCATGCTATCACCTCCTGCCCACCACATGTGCCTTCACAACCTCAACGCCCATCCACAGCCACCGGTAATAAATACTAAGAGCCGCTGGAAACCACACTGCACATCTGTACAAAATTCGGTGTTTCTGAGCACCAGGCCAGTCGTTTTTACACTGTAAGAAGACTTGATCCAGCTCTTTTTGGACCAACACAAAAGCCTTTATTTCCCACTATGATAAAACCCACCCTTCCTCTGCTCAAGGGGTAAACATCAGGCTTGTCCACACAACAGGCAGCCCCTCAACATGAAATAATGGGGTCACCCCCATTACAGTGTCAGTAACAAACTGGGACATGGGTGTTTTCCTCATCCATGGAAACAAAAGGGAACAAGCAGCTTTGCAGCCCTCTCGGCGAAGGAGACCAGCCTACCTTGCCTTCGTTGAGTTTCTTCCCAGGGTTGGTTTCTTCTGGGTGATAAAACCATTTGACTCGGACTACCATGTTGTTCCCCCACGACTCCCACATGCTCTGGATCCGGCCAATGTAGGGCAGGTTGGGGCGGCCGGCTGAGAGGAAGACCGCGCAGTCTCCGATGCGGATTATCTCCTTGCCCCGGACGATGGCCTTGTAGAAGAGCTTCCTGGCCTTGCCTTTCATTCCTCGTCTCTGCCAAGAGAGGACCACACAGGTGAGCAGCCAGGGATCACCTAGGCTTCCCTCACCCACCACTGTTTGCCCTGTCCCGCATCCCACCCTTCACTGTCGGCAGATCCACAGTGTCCACAGGCATTCCCAGAGGAAACGGGGTAGAGGGACAAGCGGTGCAGGACAGCTCCCCCAGCCACAGCGAAGGCCAACCCCAAACTCCTTGCAAACTGGAGACCCTGGCTGGGAACACACCAGGCCAGCGGAGTTTCACCACCCCAGGGGAAGGGAAAGGACACGGGTAAGAGGCACCAAAAGGCGAACACCAGCATAGAGCACTATGGAGTGGCAGGAGAGGCTCCGCTTACCTGTGTGGGTTTCCCAAACCACTTCCACAGCTGCCGCGCGGGGAGGAAAGCAGCAATCTTGGGCCTGTTCTCCACCGACGGCAGTCGCTGGCGCTTGGCCAGCTCCTTGGTGGTGGGCAGGTGGATGCCCTCGCGCTTTTTGGGCCTGCTCTTGTTGCCGCTCTGCTGCGGTGCCGGCTGTTGCACCGGCTGCTGCGCCGGCTGTTTCTGGTTCTGGGGGTGGGAGGATGCGCGGGATTTCCCTGCCTGCTTGGTTTGCTTGGGTGGGAGGGTTTGCTGCACTGAGGAACTTGGCTGGGCCTCAGCTACTTCGTCATCAGAGCTACAGGAGGAGTCTTCATCTGTAGTGGAGGAAGAAGAAGAGCTGGAGCTTGATGAAGAAGAGGTTGATGAGGCTGAGGAAGAGGAGGAAGAGGAGGAGGAAGAGGAGCTGCTGCTAGAAGAGGAAGAGGAGGAGGAGTTGGAGGAAGAGAGAGGGGTGGATGCTCTCGAGCTCGCCGAGCTGCTGTCCTGGGCTTCCCCTCGGTTCTTCTCAGCCTCCTCTTCTCCCTCTGACTCCGAGCTGCTGTCGCTGCTGTTGCTCTCAGACTCCTCCATAGCTGCTGGAGCTGTTGCCTTTTCTTCCTGGTCCTTTGAAGCAGTGAGGCTCTCTGCTGAGCCATCAAACTTTCCTCCAAAGCTGGCAGGGGAAGGGTCTCCCTCAGCTGCTTTGGCTCGGGAAGTTTTCTGCTTGCCCTCTGCACCCACTGCAGGGGAATAGCCCAGCCCCAAGAGGCTCTTGCCGTCTCTGCGACTGACCAGGTTCGAGTCCTCCAGCATCCTCATTGCCTCCTTCATCTTCTTTGTCTTTGGAGACATCACACCCTCATGGTCCAGCTTGATCAGGATTTCATTGTCATGCTTTCTCTGAGCCTTGGCCATGGTGCCAAACTCCTGTGTCTCTTCTGTGGGCCGCCCTTTCTTGGTCTTGGCTTTCGACGCTGAAGCATCGCTGGAGCCAAAGGCCGCCAGCGGCCCCGGGAGGTCGCTGTAGGGCTCTGTGCTGAGGATGCTGCCAAACACAGCAGGCTGGTAAGTGGGTTGTGGGGGGCTATGCAGCTTAGCGGAGATCTTCATTTTGCTGGCTTTTGACCGCTTTTCCTCTGTGGGGGCAGGAGAGCCTCCAGTCGGCAGTGGTTGTGATTTTCGTGACCCCTTCATGGTTGGCTTGCCCAAGCAAGCTGGCTTCTCCGGGACTGAAGAGGTAACAGGTGAAGACTCAACCTGGTCCTTCTCTTCTGGTAAGGCAGCCTCTTCTGCAGAGGGGAAGAAACACAAAGGCATGATGGTATCCATCCAGATGGGCCCTATTACCTCAGACACAACCAGACATCAATGCTGACTGGTCTATGGCCAAGGGTGGCTTTTTCCCGACACCCCAAAGAGGCACAGGTCCTCCCTGCTCACTGAACAGCCTGACTAATCAGCCTGGCCTGCGACCATGAGCAGCTGATGGGCAATGCCCAGCAATGCTGCTTCAACTGCAGGGGAAGCGGATCTGCTGCATCTTTGGCCATACTGATGGCTGCTGAGATGCTCAGCTGAAAAAGGAACCCCGCTCTGCAGCGCTGACTGACAGAAGGAGGCTCTCGCAGTGCAGGCCAGCTTCTGAGCCAGCCTCCTGCAAACTGTAGCCACGGCAGAACAAGGTGATGCATGGATGCTCTGCATTCAAGCAGTGTATCCACTCCCCTCCAAATCTTTCCCCAAGCAATAGCTCTAACTTGGGGAGAGTGGTGGGGAACTGTGCAACGACTCTCTCAACTCCAGGTCTGGCAGTGGTGACAACCTACCAGCTTTCACCTTGATGCTTGGCTTTCTCCCTCGCCCTTTGCCCTTCGACACAGGCTCCTCTGACCCCAGCGTAGCTCCCTCTTTTCCTTCTCCAGTGTCTTTGCTGGATTTACGGCTACGGCGCTTGGTGCTGGGCACCAAAAGGGCCGGGGAAGGCTCAGCACCTGGAACAGGTGAAAGAGATGGTCAAATGCAGTCAAATAACACATAAAACAGAGATGCAACACGGGGAACGTAACCCTACCAATTCTGCAATAGAAACTGGGCCTTCTTCCCTATGGGTTATATCCCACCTCAGCTCTGCATGTCCATAATTGATGGTGCAATCTTTGTGATTGAAAGTCTATGAACTCAGCCCAAAATCTCAGAGGCAGGTGGCCCGAAACTCCCTACATTTCACAGTGGGAAGTGTCATGCAAAAAACTGAACAGCAAGACTCACACTGGATCTTGTAGTCAGGTGGGAGAAGCCGAATATGAGACAGTGGGATACGTCCCGTGTCCCCGTCATCAAACTCTACTGTGATGAGATCACCATCTTCCTCCAGATCCAGGGCTCCTGTGGGTTGGGAGAGCAGAAGACGGGATTAGGGACAGACATAAGAGTACAAATCCCTTGTCAGGGAAGTGGGGACATGGGAGAAGACAGGGATCCTGCACCAGTTCCAAAGCATCCTGTCCCCACTTTTCCTAGGCTGTGCAGGGAGAGCACGGAAGGCTTGCTCTGCAATGGAAAGTCCCGGATAATACTACACCCGCCCACCCAGTGTAAAATTTCCCAGTCAACAGCACTGCTCCAGAACATTAACAACCATTCCAGTTTGAATCCCCACCTCTTTCCCCTATTTTCCTCTATTCTTGCAGAAATTCACTTCTCTGTTTTCACTGCAGTATTTTTTTTTTTGACCGGCATTTTGTAACTACTCAGCAATCACAAGCTGTTGCTTTTCACCTTCTCTCCAAGAGAAATAAGCTGTGTTCCCACCCTCCCTGGAGTTAATTCTGACTTTCTGAAGTGTGTTGAACTTCTCTGATATTTTAAGCTCCTAAATTCACAGATTGGTAGGGGTTGGATGGAACCTCTAGAGATCATCTAGTCCAACCCCCCTGCTAGAGCAGGAACGCCTAGAGCATGTTGCACAGGAATTACTCATACCTCTTCCTACGAGAGCACATCTCCTGGACCAACAGGATGTTACTAAACCAGCATCATGATGGAGTTGGGCATGACCCGGTGGAGAGGAACGGGCCAGGCTCTGACCTCCAGGACACTCACAGCAGAACTCAGGGCTTCCCCAGACAAGCCTGACATCCCTCAGGACACATAGGACTGAGACATCCATGGTTCACAGTGCAGAGCATCCAGGGCAGCCTTACCTCGGACAACTGTCCCTGGGTAGAGGCAGCGGTACTGCTGGCTCCAGTAGGCTGCAATCCTCGTGCCCTCGGGCAGGAATCGCACTGAAGGTGGTTTCACATCGATGATCTGCTCGGGGCAAGAGGAAGCCAATTACTGACACTCTTGGCACCAGCACAGACCATCCCACCACACTTGGCGTGTAGCGAAGCAGCTCTGGAGAAGACAAGGGACAGTTTCCCTGCTGGGAAATGGTCTCCTGTCTGCTCACAGGGCAGTGTGAAGGACCATCCCTGCTGGCATACAAGCCTACTGCCCACTGCCAGTGGGGGAGCTCAGCCATGGGGCAGTGACCCACACAAAGGGGAGCTCTGTCCAGACTGGCCACAGAGGCAGGACCAGGGCACCCCTGCAGCCCCAGCTGGGGAAAGGGGAAGCTTCCAGTTAGCCTCCTCCACCCCAAAATAGGGCTCAGGCACCAAGGACAGGCACCCTTTGGCCTCACATACCGCTTCCTGCAAGAGCTGCTCCAGGCAATAAATGTGGGGACGGTTTCCTCTCTCACCTTCCACCACCACACGGTATCTGAAACACAAAGGCCTGGTCAGACACGGCACATGGAAGACATCACCCTGATCAGCTAACACCTCGCTGAGCCCTACCACCAGTTTAGTTGAGAGCATTTAATGAGAGGCAATTGGATTCTCCTCAGTGCAGATAAACCGGAGTGGACTCTCCTCCCCTCCCTGCCAGACTCTGTCAGTCTCTCTCCAGTCAGCTCTTCACAACCCCCAAATCGATCCCTGCATCAGCTACATCCCTGCTCACTGGCAGAGCCCAGGTGGATACAGTAGCCTCCCTCAACTCACATGTCTGGTGAATGCACCGTCTTGACATGCCCAGCATAGAGCAGCTTGTCATCCATGGGGATGAGGACACGCAGACCGTCTTTCAGCTCATCCTTGTCAATTATGCAGGAGCGGGGAGCTGTGAGGTGTTGGAGCAAGATGGGGATTAGAGAGCACCATACGTGAAAATGCCACTGCAAGGGGAGAAGGAAACCTCATACTCCCAGCATCACCCTCCCCCAGGAAAAGGCCAGTGAGCCCTTTGCAGAAAGGGCCCTCTCTCTCTGGCTAGCTCCTGGCAGAGGAAAATTTTTCCCTCTTGGCAATAATAAAAAGTTCCCTCTCTTGGTAATAATAATATACCAGTAAATGAAAACAGGGCAGCTCAGAGACTGGGCTTCATCTAGATGTCGCAGTAGGCCACTCTGATAAGGCTTGTTTTTGGCAAGCCAAATTGACTGGAAAAGTGGTACCTCCACCTCAAGGACTCGTAGCTTTAGATGAGGAACACGTGAAAGCTGTATAGTGCTCCTCCAAGCAGCCGTGGGAAACTTGCCCAGTTCCTCTAACTTTACCATTAGCCCCCCGACCCCTCCTGTGCTCACCTGGTGTGGGCGGTCGCTCGACCAGCATGCTCAGTGGGATGTTCTCATCCTCTGAGAAGCTGCTGTCTTGGTTGGGTTCAAAATCCTCCTCTGCTGCCATGCTCTCCATGAGTTTGCTGACAGCTCCTCCTTTCCCTCGGTTCTGCAGGAGAGCAAGCAGCGTATCAGCAGGATGACAACAGGCAACAGTTTGATCCCATCTCAACTTCCTCCAGCAACAAATAACCTGAGAATATTGGGACAAACTTGTCTCCATCCTCAGCAACATTAATCACACAGAGAGTTAAGTGGGTGTACGCAAACTTGCTTTTTGGTTGAACAAAGATCTTTGTTTTTCTGGGTTTATTCCCAAGCATCACTGACAGCTGACCAAAAGCTACTTAATACATCCTAGCCACATCTTACTCCTGGAGGTTAGGAGAGATGCTGTGGAGCAGACAGCTGTAGCTCTGCTCTGCCTTCACCATCTCTCTGCACAGTTTCCTGAGACCCTGTCTTCACTAAACAGGCAGCAGGCACTGCTCTGCTTTCTTCTGAAAGCCCCACGATCCATTTCCTCCTGTTACACAGAGACCATAAGCATTACACTCAGAAATCACGTGAGAAGACACGGTAATGTGTATTATGAGAGAAGACAGGCTACAGCAATGGAGCAGAAACCAGTGGTGACCTGGCTCGCCCAGTGCTGAGCAGGACAACTCCATCACCATCTCCATGGTCCTTGCTATCCACGAAAGCTCTCCTCCACCTCGTGGCCACCTTAAAGAAAGTTCTGACTGCTCACTAATTTGAAGGATGAAGTCAAACACCAGATGGTAGCAGCAGGTACTACCTGATAAGTCTTCCTTGGATTTTAGGCTACTCAAACCAGCATTTTGCCTGTAACACACCCAGCAAAACCTGCATGTCTGTTTTCCCTGCCTCACATTGCAACAGCCCAGAAAAAGAGCAGGGCTCTGCCAGCAACCCTCCAGTTCACCCAGACTAGAACCAGCCTCTCACCTCTTTTTTCACCTCCTTGGCTTTCACTTTGGCTTTGCTCTTCTTGGTGGAGCCCAGGGCACTGGCCAGGCTGACACGAACATCAGATGGGGAGCTAGGGATGCCAGGAGGAGACATGGACGAGGAGGAGGAGCAGCAGGGTGTTTCTTTACCCTTCTTCCTCTGCTAAAAATAAAAACATTAACATCAGTAAAGAGAGTATTGGTAAAGATCTGGGCCCAGGGTAAAGATGGAGCAAAGCAGGCTGAGCACAGGTAGGATGACATTCAACCAGCAGTTAGTTCACTGACCACACTACATCCTACATCTCCCAGCTCTGCTTTCAGACTTCACACATTTTGGGAAGAGCTTTTCATTACCCTGGAGAGCAATTCCTGCCCATCAAACCTTCCCCCAAAGAGCTCCAAGAAGATCCCAGCTGGCCTCACGTCACAAGTAACTTGTCTAACTCTCCCCATAATCAGTGCTCCTCCATAACGCTGCCATGAACTGAACTGGAGACGGAGGGAGTCGAGCTTTCAGCCAAGACAAGGAGGCAGCAACCCAGAGATCACTGTCCACACCAGCCAGGGACAGCCCTCAGAAGGCACCATATAAAAGGTGAACACCCTTAAAGGGCAGCATGGGGGGGGCACAGCTCAGCAAGCGGGTATGGTCGTGCAGAGAGTGGGAGAGAGATTTCTGAAATGTTTTAATGGATGATGTCCACTCTGGCCAATCCAAGCAGGATGGATTTGAGACATGGAGGGTGACACAAATAACCTGCCCTGTTCAAACACAACAGGCTTTTACTCCCTGTGAGTCAGATCCAAACCTGACAGCTCCTCAGGGTGTATGTGGGGCTGGCAGGGGTAACAAGGAACAGCCAAACAGCACTGGGGCAGCCAGTGAGACAGGACTCAACTCTCCCCTGCCCTAGCAGAGTTAATTGCCCTCCCCTCACCTCCCAAGGGTCCCACACCAATTCTTGCCAGCACATTCCTCACCTTGCTTAGGTCCTTCCTCTCCTTCCCCTTGCTGCCCTCCTTTTTGGGGCTCATGGGTGCCCCCTTGCCACAGCGCGCAGGCTTGGAGACAGGAGTAGAGCTGGCAGGCACTGCGGGGGTCAGCATGGCTGAGGACGTGGTGGCGTCATGGAGGAAGATCCGCTCACTCCGGCGCCGGTTCCACAGGTCATCATCACTGGCCTCCAGCCCAAATTCAAAGCTCAAGTCCTTGGGGGACTTGAATTTCTTCAGCTTGCGGCCTTTCTCAGACCCAAGCTTGGCCTTGTCAGCGCTCCCAGATCCGGAGTCAAGGCTGCTGGGGGCCTGGCTTTGCGGGATGCTGCTTGCCTCCAGCGGCCCCTTCTTTCCCCGCAGCAGCCCTGAGGGCGACTTCTTCCTGATCTTGATCTCACTCTCTGAGTCGGTGTATTCAAACTCTGTCCCTAGGTGCAAAGGATTTAACCATCAGTCAAAGCCCAGGCTGAGCCAAGAGAGGCAACGTCCTGCTGGAAGCTTTTGGGCTCCATGGGAGATGCCGTGCCTGTTCAACAGAGCCTTGCTTGTTACCCTTCCCAATCCCCACATCCCTCACATTTGCATTTCTGCCCCATAAAACACTGACTTCCCTGAAAATAAGTCTCCCCTGCCCCAAACCAGAGCCCACCCATTCAGGCAGTGTGGTTCAGTGTGTACCCTGCCTCCATTTTCTCCCTTCTCCCACAACCAAAACCCTGTAGGGAAGCTCTGAAGAAATAAGAAACTCTAACATTTGCTCCTCCACAAAAAGGAGTTGCTTGGCTGAAGTAAAGCACAAACCCCACAAGCTAAGCCTTCCTCCCCTCCCGGTGGGAGTCCTCTCCGATCTCACCTTCGTTTTAGGAGAACGATCTCTTTAACGAATTGAATAAACCCAGTTTTCAAGTTTATTTTTTCCCATTGGCCATCAGACACCACAGATCTTTTTATTGGCTCAGGTAATCGCCTTTAAAGTCAAGAGAGGTAAATGATCTTTTGTCTGTGGCAAATGGAAATCCCCTCACATTGGCCTCCGCTCGGCATCATGGGCACAGCAGTACCCAGAGGCCTGAAATGTTGTAGTAATGCCAAGATGTTCACCACCTTCAGTGCATTTCTCTCTCCAGAACCTGATGAAGGAGAGCAAGATCATACATTTCCAGGGACAGAAAGGAAACTGAGGCAGCATCTACACACACAGCTACATGGGCAGGAGGTAGGCAAAACACTGTGGCTGCACAGGCACTGTGCCATCAGAGGGATACAAAGAGCCAGGAAGAAACTTGCCAAGGTCATGCGGTAAGTCTATGTTGGAACAAGAGACTGAGCCCAGAATTTCTAAATCCATTAGTTTCCCAGGGCACTGGACCTCATAGGATGGCACGGCACCTCTGAAGATGTGTAGAAACATCAGCAGAATCTGGTTCTCCCCCTCCAAAAAAAACCATCAGCCAAAGATCTCTCTTGTATCCTCCTCCAACCGGCTGTGGATCTGCCCTCTCTGCACACACATCTGCATGACTCTTGCCTTCAGACCAAGGTCTGAAACCAGGTTTCTGCTTGGCAGAATCTCTTCTCAAGTGCAAACAGTGAACAGTCCCTGCTGTGATAACCACTGCTTGCAAAAGACCCTTGAGAAAGGACATACAGGACTGAACAACATTCACATGGGTAAATGAAAACATACGAGGCACAAGCACGGAGAACATCTTCTCTCAGTCCTTCTCTCTCAACTATGCTCACTTTCCTGAGTAAATTCAGTCTGCAGGAACCTGCTCGCATCTTCTACCCAAACCTCTTCCCCTGAGACAGCAGCAGCATGAGCAGGAAAAGAGCAAGTCTGTCAAAGTCAAAGCCAGCAAGGCTCAAAATGAAAAACCCACTGGAAATTACAACACCCCTTCTCCTCTCTTACTGCCACATGAGACAATTTCTAGATGCTTCCAGTTTCAAGGAGGGCAGGTTACAAGACAATAAATTCTTAACAGAGGCTGTTGGAACAAGTTGGCAAAAGCCTAATACAGCTTAGAAACAGTGCTAAAACAAGCCGGGCTCCCAAGGAAGACATCATTTTCCATTCTGAAGCATGCTATAAATTCCATTACCACTTAATAAATATTAATAGAGAATTTATAAACGGAGCTCACATAGATCTGTCTGACCAGGAAGAATGTCACCAGCAGGCACTTGTGCAGCAGGGCACAGGGAGGGGAAGAAATGAAACTGCCAATAATGTGCAACACACTGAAACTGAGAGACGGGTACAGAAACGCAGGGTCTGGCACTGCAAACGTGTGAGCAGAGGAAGGAATGCTTGTTTCAAGTCTCGCTGGCCAGTTTCTATGAGGAAGCTGATGGGATGGGCTCATTGAAGGGTTTTTTCTACTGCTCAGGTATCTCTGCTTCTCCTGGGTATCTAAGATCAGCTGCATGTAGCACATGCTTCCTTCCCTGAAATGTAAAAGCACTTCACTGCCTTCAGCACTCTGTCCAAGGGGACACAGTATCCCGTCACTTGCCTTTGCAGCGTGACTTGTTCAGGGTTCACCAGGGAGGAAAAGAGGAAACTTTGAGGAAGCCACACGCAACTGCACCTAGGGAAGCCATGGCTGCAGCTGCTAAACCTCCCATACCCGTGACTGGTTCTTGTTTTCTTGCCATGCAATTGACCCCGCCTTCAGCATCAGCACCAAGCAGTCAAACGCAAACAAAAGGCAAGACAGTGTCTGGGTGACAACCTGCTCTCTTGCAGCACAGTAGGACCTCCTGAACCTTCTACCTTGTCCCTCATGGCACCAACCCTAACCACACAACTCACCCATCAGGCTCTGCCGCTCCTCCTTCTTTTTCGCCTTCTGCTTGGCCTCCAGCTGGATGATGGAAAGTGGAGGGGGAACGATGGGGCTGGGCATCGCGCTGGCGGCAAACCTTGCTAGAAGGCCCAAGCCACTCTCGTCGAGGGCAGGCGATGAAAGCCTGTCAGTGCCATCCATCCCATAGTCCTCTGGTTCCTCCTCTTCTTCTTCGTCCTCCTCTTCCTCTTCCTCTGAGCTAGAATCTAGCACGCAGAGAAGAGGGAGCCCATTACAAATCTCATGGAGTTGTGCATCAGCCACACTTCCACCCCAAACCGATAAACTCTCCGGCTGCTCAGTGCTCATGTAAGCAGCACTGAGCCACCCATGAGCTGAGCCAGAAGATGTTGGCCATGGACACATACATCTTTGCAGCCACATAGCCACTATCACCCTGCCTACCACCACCCCTGAAGGACACAGCAATACAGGGTATGGCAAAGAGGGAGGGAAGAGCAGGGTGTTAGCAGAGATTTGAAAAGGACGCCATGCACCCTTTCCCTGCAGCTTTCAGGAGGAATTAAAAGCTTAATTCCTTTGAAAATCCCAACCTCAGAGCTGTGGGATTCCCCTCCCGCCCACCACCTCTCCCTCCATAATGAAATCCATTAGTGTAATCAGAATCAGAGATCAGCATGGGAGGGGAATACCAGAGAGCAGCCTGTGCCATGGTGGGAGGCAAGGAGGACACAGAGAGGAGAAGGGGCAGGAGGCAAAAATGCAAAGGGAGGGAGGGAAATAATAATTTGAAAGCAATGGATTTGGAATGCATAAGGGGGGAAAGCGTAGGTAGTGTTGGAGACAAGGAGGAGTGTTTAAACGCTCTGCCTCAAAACTCTCCATGCCCTTCATTTCCCTCTCTACAGCTCAGCCTAGGAAAGCCCAGCTCAGCACAGGCAGGAAGAGCTGCCCACAGCCCAAAATCTAATTTTGGCAAAGAAATCAGCCTTGCTGCCTGCCTCGGCTGACACCCGCAGAGAGCAGTGGGCTGGGATTTTCCTTTACGGTGTGCACACAGCAGGTATTTTGGGGGTAGATGCTCTGAGAGTGGCACCTCTCCCTTCCTACAGCACTTCCCAAGAGTCTGTCATCAGCTCAAAGGCAATTAATTTTAACAGCATCTCATCCAGTTAGTGCTGGTGAGCGAGAATCACTACACAAATGCACATACACCACACACATACATATACACACACATATAGGAGCACATATATATATATATTTAACTGCAAAAAGTGGGTCTGGAAAAGATATTTCATTTCTCTTGAAATTGAGGGCTTAAGTAGGATCATCAAGGTTGTTGAAGAATTTCCACCGCTAGCAGGAGCCCTGCTCTCCCTGCCTGAGCCCACTCGCCAGCTCCCCACCAGCCGCTACCCCTGCGTCTGAAAGCCAGCCAAATGAGAAACCAGATCCCTTCAAAATGAGCTGGAATGAACATGAAAATCCTTTTCTTTTCACGTATGCCCTCCGGGATAGATAAAAACGTCCTCAACACTTGGTTGTTAAAAAAAAATACAATAACATAAGTGTTATTTTTCCACTTTGGATTATTTTTCCATGACATTAGAAATAACCAGAATATCAAAAACCAGTGTTCTCATCCTTGCATTTTACCAACTGAAGTAATGGCCAGCTATTCTTTTATTATTATTATTTTCAACAAGGAGAGCTTTTCTCCATAGCATACATCAGACAGTCACAGAATACTAATTTTTCACTGCATAAAAATCCCTTCGCCCTTTCAGTTGCTCAGACTTGTTCCTTGTGATATAAAAATGCTACTAAACCTACAGTCCTGCAATAAATACCAAGAAATCCACAGCCCTGCTCACTCCTTGCACAAAAACCACATGAAAAAAAAAAAATCCGCAGCAAATTAGGATCAGATTCCTTCCCCTACCAGAAAAGGGGGCACAACTGCTGTTTTCTACCACATTTTGCCAAAAGAAAAACAAATCCAGATGAACTTGGCTGAGATGCAGAAACCACCTGCCTGAAAAGAAGCAAAACCGTGCCTGAGTTCAACACACCATGGGGTATTGAGACCCCCCTCCACGCATCCCATTTGGCTCCAAAATTCAGTAATTCTCAGCAAAACCAGAAAAATTTGAAAAAAATCAACCTGTACAGCCCCTCATGCCAGACCTAGCTGGCTGAGCAGAGAGTTGCTCACTGAGCAGCTGAGGAGGAAAACAGGCCAAAAGAGGGGAAAGTTTGCAGGAAAATCCCTCCACGACCTGTCCCACGCGAATCCCCCACAGCACCCTTGGCTTAGCCGCACCGACTGCCCAGGGGCTGTGCCAAGCACGGGCAGCACCCCTCCTTCGGCACTTAGAGACCCTGCACGTGCGAGGGCACACAGGTATCCAGCAGCTACGGTATTTCAAATGCACCAAGGTAAAACAGATTTAAAAGCCAGGATGAAAGTGGCTATTACTCACGCTATAGAAAACGTACGATACAATAATGTACCTGGCAGTTATTCTAACCTCTTTCAACTATACAGTGTCACACTATGGAAAGACAACTGAAGATAAGCCTCTTGTCAGCATTTTTACCAAAACACTTATCTTTTTATCTGCATGAGATTCAATTTTCAGCCTGAAAATAAACACATTTTAATACATTCACAGCACAGATCTATCCTCCTCCACCTCTCACGGCGAGGGCAGATCTTGCTAACTCCACTCTACATGCGCAGCACAATCCCAGCTCCTCATTTTCCAAGGGACAAAAACTAACAAATGAAACAAAAAGAACACATTTGGGACTCTGCGCCAAACCCACACGCTTCTAAACTAAGACCCCAAATTTATGGTCATGGTGGCAAATAAGCTGCTGGTGCTCTACGGCCATCTGCACAGCTTCTTCGGGAGACTGTATTTAATCTGAAGCAGGAGTTTTACTCCTACTGTACCCAAATTATGTGTGGGCTTAAAATGAAGTATGCACAGATGCCTTAACACAATTGAAGCCTCATTTTTTTCTCCTGAAAAGGTGATTTTTAGTTAACAATGGGGAAAAAGATATTTTAAAAAATCATTTTTTCCTTCAACAGTAGTTCTGTTAACACTAAGCAAGGGTAAAGGAAAAATATTCAAAGTTAAAAATATCTTTTCTATTTGACATTTTTAAGAGCATGTATATGTGTGTATATACCCACACACGCAACCACACATGTACATACAACTCTACTGCCAAAACAAACAATAAATTCATATTTAAATGCTACTGATGCCAGATAGAACAGCCAAAAGATTTTTTTTCTAAAATTTGTACCTGCGTTAAATTAAAAACCAAACCCAATTAAAACCACTAAACTTTCTCATTGCTTTTAACAGCTAAGCTGCCGTGGTATTTCGCTGTAGGAGAGCAGTAAATGAAGATTTGTTAATGATGAACAGAAATTTGTTAAGCAATTAGGTTTTTAAAGACTGATGTAACAAGATGGATTGAGGGGGATGTGGAAAGGAAAGGCTTGGGAAGGGGGGAGTAAAAACACACACTTAAAAGAGTCATTTCACATTGTAAAAAAAATAGCATGATTTTCTCATAACACCAAGCAGGCCTACAGCATACAAAGCAGGCTAAGTACAGGCAGACTTTAGACAGCTACTGGGTCATTGACATCTGATTTGTGTGATCTGTCCAAATTCTGGAGGTTACTTATTTTTGAATGTCCAATTTAAGATTGTACCTTTTTTTTTTTTTTTTTTGGTGAAACAAGCCAGTTCTCATCATTGGAAGATTTCCCCCCGCCCCCATATGTGCTGTGCTGCTGACTCCAGAAGTACTTTAAAATTAAAAATATTACCACTATCACATGGGAATGACTGTTTAGGGAACAGGTTAACCCTGTTTGGTTAACTGTTAACTGTTACTGTTTTGGTTTTTTCATTGAGATAAAATCATCCTCCAAGTCAGGGAATGGACAGCGGGGAAGAAGGTAGTTATTTCTTAGTACTAATTTCTTAGTAACTTTTCAAGGAAAACAGAGTATTGAGGAGGAGGAAGTACTGGTCTTCAGCCTCAGAAAGCTCATGGTATTACCTATCTGATGGTTTTCAAAGGTCCCCTGTGGCTTTGGCCCACATTAGCGGTTTCCTCTCCAAGGTCACTGGATGAAAACCCGCAAGTTTTGCCCATTATCAGAATGTCAACGTGGTGCTCGGTGTGCAAGAAAGCACGTGTCCCTATCTCTTCTATCTCAAACCAGATGATAACAGGTCTTCCTGCAGCTACTCCTACCTCTGACGTAGATACAGGCAGAGCCACGGCCAGCCAATTACCCTGAAGGTACAACAGTCTGCATCATGGGCCAGAAACCTTTAAGGACAGTGGCAGAGCCTTTGCAGGCAGGGCCGTGGCTTCTCATCTCGGACCCATCTGCAAATCCTTCCCTTCGCTGGGTTAAGGGGTTCTCCAAAAGAAGGTCTGTAAACAGTAAAGCATTTCTGGAGTCCTCAAACACATACACACAAGCCAATCTTCCATGCAAGATTCTTCATGGACAGAGGAAAGTCAAAAGTGGACAGCAATCATCTTCAAAATTCAAATAACCAAGAGAATGCAAAGAGCTACGTGTCATTATTCATGGAGGTAACATCGAAACATCTGAGGCTGACAGATGACATAAAGAAAAGTTATTTTGCCTACCTACATAACAATGGTCAAGGTTCGGGTTCATGGCTAGTGACCCTCGCTGAGAAGTGTCTGCCCTACAACCAGCCAACCACTTTGCTTCTTTAGTGCAGCGTGAGAGCAAATGCAAGAGACCGACACAGACATTCAAAGCATCATGGATAGGGGCAGGGGTGAAAGGGTTGGTCAAGCAGCTGCAAGGAGAAAGCGAGCACTTCTAGAAAAGCTGAGGTTATTAATCGGTTTAGTATCAGGGAAAGCCATTAGAAACCCTATTACCCAAATATCCCTTCAAGTAATGCTTCTGAGAAAGAACAACCAAAAAAAAATCATTTGCAGAAAAAACCAAAACTGTAATCAATAATCCCTCCCCACCTCCCCCTCCATGCCCACCTCCCACCCCAGGAGGTTTTGCATCTTTGGTTTCCCCACCATTAAATGACACCCCAGAGGGATTTACAATGCATTTCCCCATTTGTTCCAGATTGCCCAACCTCCTCCCATATCCCCTCCCCACCCCAGACTTCATCCCATAAAACTGGGATTTTAGTTGTTAGGTTTTTTAAAAGCAGACAGGTTACTTGAAAAATAGACAAAGCCAATTAGGGACAAGTTACCTATCTGCTTACCTGGAGCAAAACCAAAAAGCAAACCCAAAAAAC